AAAGTTCACGTGGAACCAAAAAAGAGCCCGCATCGCCAAGACAATCCAAAGCAAAAAGTACAAAGCTGGAGGCATCATGCTACCTGACTTCAAACTATACTACAAGGCTACAGTAACCAAAACAGCATGGTACTGGTACCAAAACAGAGATACAGACCAATGGAACAGAACAGAGCCCTCAGAAATAATACCGCACATCTACAACCATCTGATCTTTGACAAACCTGACAAAAACAAGAAATGGGGAAAGGATTCCCTATTTAATAAATGGTGCTGGGAAAACTGGCTAGCCATATGTAGAAAGCTGAAACTGGATCCCTTCCTTACACCTTATACAAAAATTACTTCAAGATGGATTAGAGGCTTAAATGGTAGACCTAAAACCATAAAAACCCTAGAAGAAAACCTAGGCAATACCATTCAGGACATAGGCATGGGCAAGGACTTCATGACTAAAGCACCAAATGCAATGGTAACAAAAGCCAAAATTGACAAATGGGATCTAATTAAACTAAAGATCTTCTGCACAGCAAAATAAACTACCATCAGAGTGAACAGGCAACCTACAGAATCGGAGAAAACTTTTACAATCTACCCATCTGACAAAGGGCTAATATCCAGAATCTACAAAGAACTTAAACAAATTTACAAGAAAAAAATCAAACAACCCCATCAAAAAGTGGGCAAAGGATATGAACAGACACTTCTCAAAAGAAGACATTTATGCAGCCAACAGACACATGAAAAAATGCTCATCATCACTGGCCATCAGAGAAATGCAAATCAAAACCACAATGAGATACCATCTCACACCAGTTAGAATGGCAATCATTAAAAAGTCAGGAAACAACAGGTCCTGGAGAGGATGTGGAGAAATAGGAACACTTTTACACTGTTCGTGGGACTGTAAACTAGTTCAACCATTGTGGAAGACAGTGTGGCGATTCTTCAAGGATCTAGAACTAAAAATACCATTTGACCCCGGCATCCCATTACCGGATATATACCCAAAGGATTATAAATCATGCTACTACAAAGATACAAGCACACGTATGTTTATTGCGGCACTGTTCACAATAGCAAAGACTTGGAACCAACCCAAATGTCCATCAATGATAGACTGCATTAAGAAAATGTGGCAAACATACACCATGGAACACTATGCAGCCATAAAAAAGGATGAGTTCATGTCCTTTGCAGGGACATGGATAAAGCTGGAAACCATCATTGTGAGCAAAATATCGCAAGGACAGAAAACCAAACACCACATGTTGTCACTCATAGGTGGGAATTGAACAATGAGATCACTTGGACACAGGGCAGGGAACATCACACCCCGGGGCCTATTGTGAGGTGGGAGGGGGGAGGGATAGCATTAGGAGATATTCTAATGTAAATGACGAATTAACGGGTGCAGCACACCAACATGTCACATGTATACATATGTAACAAACCTGCACGTTGCATACATGTACCCTAGAACTTGTAAGTATAATAAAAATAAATAAATAAATTGGGCGGATGAATCATATTACAGTAATCCAGTATTTCGCCTATAAAGTCCCTGAGGTTTACAGAAGGAAATCTTTTCTAATAACAAGAAGAGCCGGGCGCGGTGGCTCACGCCTGTAATCCCAGCACTTTGGGAGGCCGAGGCGGGCGGATCACAAGGTCAGGAGATCGAGACCACGGTGAAACCCCGTCTCTACTAAAAATACAAAAAATTAGCGGGGCGCGGTGGCGGGCGCCTGTAGTCCCAGCTACTCAGGAGGCTGAGGCAGGAGAATGGCGTGAACCCGGGAGGCGGAGCTTGCAGTGAGCCGAGATCGCGCCACTGCACTCCAGCCTGGGCGACAGAGCGAGACTCCGTCTCAAAAAAAAAAAAAAAAAAAACAAGAAGAGTGAGGCATGTGCTTCGGTCTTTGTCTCCTAGTTATACGATCCTGGGTAAGGAGCTCAACTTTTCCCTGTCAAAATTAAATGAGGATTAAATGAGATCATATATGTGAAGATGTGAAGGCCAGTGCCTGGCACATAGTAGGATCAATCAGTGTTAGTATCTCTAAAATAGAGATTGATTCTGAAGATCTATAAAGTGGTAGAATCGATCTTAAGATTCCCAAATGATAGAATTGTTCTTTATTTACCTAAGTAGTAGGGGCTTACTTATTTTGTATGTCCAGGGGATACTTTTTTTTTTTTTAATAATTTCTATTTATTTATTTTGAGACAGAGTCTCACTGTGTCCCCCAAGCTGGAGTGCAGTGGCACCATTTTGGCTCACTGCAACCTCCATCTCCCTGGTTCAAGTAATTCTCCTGCCTCAGCCTCCTGAGTAGCTGGGATTACAGATGTGCACCACTATGCCCGGATAATTTTTGTATATTAAGTAGAGACAGGGTTTTGCCATGTTGGCCAGGCTGGTCTTAAACTCCTGACCTCAGGTGGTACAGCTGCCTCAGCTTCCCAAAGTTCTGGGAATGCAGGTGTGAGCCACTGGGCCTGGCCTTTTTTTTTTGAGACAGGATCTCACTCTGTTGCCTAGGCTGGCATGCAGTGGCACTACCATGCCTCACTGCAGCTTCGAACTCCCTGGCTCAAAATTCTCCCACCTCAACCTCCTGAGTAGCTGGGATCACAGGTATGCACCATCACACCCCGTTAATTTTTTTTTTTTTTTTTTTTTTGAGATGGAGTCTTGCTCTGTCACCCAGACTGGAGTGCAGTGGCATGATCTCAGCTCACTGCAACCTCCACCTGCCGGTTTAAGCGATTCTCCTGTCTCAGCCTCCCAAGTAGCTAGGATACCACAGGTGAGTGCCACCATGCCTGGCTAATTTTTTGAATTTTTTGTAGTAGAGACAGGGTTTCACCATGTTCACCAGGCTGGTCTCAATCTCCTGACCTCGTGATATGCCCACCTCGGCCTCCCTAAATGCTGGGATTACAGGTGTGAGCCACCACGCCCGGCCCTAATATTTTATTTTTTTGTAGAGATGAGGTCTTACTATGTGGCCCAGGCTGGTCTTGAATTCCTGTACCCAAGTGATCTTCCCACCTTGACCTCCCAAAGTGTTGGGATTACAGGCTTGAGCCACTGTGCCCAGTTCCCTTCTTAAATAGTTTTAAGGGGGAGAAGAAAAAGACTGATTTTCTTCCCTTCAACTACCAAGACAGGCAGAACACACCAGAACACTTTGCTTAGCATTTCTTTTCGTTTTGTTTTGTTTTGTTTTGTTTTGTTTTGTTTTGTTTTGTTTTGAGATGGCGTCTCACTCTGTCACCAAGGGTGGAGTGTAGTGGCGCGATCTTGGTTCAATGCAACCTCCACCTCTTGGGTTCACGCTATTCTCCTGCCTCAGCCTCCCAAGTAACTGGGACTACGGGCGCCTGCCACCACTTTCGGCTAATTTTTTGTATTTTTAGTAGAGACAGGGTTTCACTGCGTTAGCCAGGATGGTCTCGATCTCCTGACCTCGTGATCTGCCCGCCTTGGCCTCCCAAAGTGCTGGGATTACAGGCGTGAGCAACCGTGACCGGTCGTTCCTTCATTGTTTAAAATAAATTCACATACCATAAAATTCACCATTTTATTTATTCTCTCTCTGTCCCTCTCTCTCTTTCTTTTTTTTTTTCCAGGCTGGAGTGCAGTGGCCCTATCATGGCTCACTGCAACCTTGAATTCCTGGGCTCAAGTGATCCTCCCACCTCAGCCTCCCGAGTAGCAGTAGCTGAGACTATTGTCTCATGTGTCCAGGTGAAGAGACCACCAAACAGGCTCTGTGTGAACAACATGGCTGTTTATTTCACCTGGATGCAGGTGGGCTGAGTCCGAAAAGAGAGTCAGCAAAGGGTGGTGGGATTATCATTAGTTCTTATAGGTTTTGGGATAGGCGGTGGAGTTAAGAGCAATGTTTCGGGGGCAGGGGGTGAATCTCACAAGGGTGGGGGAGATTATAAAGAACCTTCTTAAGGGTGGGGGAGATTACAAAGTACATTGATCAGTTAGGGTGGGACAGAAACGAATCACAATGGTGGAATGTCATCAGTTAAGGCTATTTTCACTTTTGTGGATCTTCAGTTGCTTCAGGCCATCTGGATGTATACGTGCAGGTCACTGGGGATATGATGGCTTAGCTTGGGCTCAGAGGCCTGACAACTATCAGTGCACACCACCAAGCCTGAGTAATTACAATACTTTTTTCTTTTCTTTTCTTTTCTTTTTCTTTTTCGTAGAGATGGAGTCTTCCTATGTTGTCCAGGCTGGTCTGGAACTCTTGCCCTCAAAGGATCCTCCTGTCTAATTCTCCCAAAGTGCTGGGATTACAAGCATGTGCCACCGCGCCCGGCCAAATGCACCCCCCCTTTTTTTAAAGTGTGCAATTCAATGGTTTTTAATATATTCACAAAGTCATGGAACCATCACATCTATCTAATTTCAAAATGTTTTCATCGCTCCAAAAAAATAACTCCATATGGGAGACCAAGGCGGGCAGTTCATTCGAGACCAGCCTGGCCAACATGTTGAAACTCCGTCTCCACTAAAAATACAAAAATTAGTCGGGCGTGATGGCGCACGCGTGTAGTCCCAGCTACTCCGGAGGCCGAGGCAGAAGAATCGCTTGAACCGGGAGGCGGAGGTTGCAGTGAGCCCAGATCGCGCCATTGCACTCCAGCCTGGGCGACAGAGCGAGACTCCGTCTCAAAAATATCTAATTAATTAATAAAAATAAAAATAAACAAGTAAATAAATAACCCCATGCCTTCTGCCTCTGTGGCTTTGCCTGTTCTGAGTATTTTGTGTGAATGGACCCATGCATGGGGGTGGGCCGGGCACCTTTCAAACGTTCACCCCCACAACGGCCCGTGGCCGCCGGATTGGACAGTGCGAGCTGAACGTGCGGGCCGGGCGCCCAATCGCTCCGGAGCGTCTGGAGGGGGCAGGTGCAGGTGCGGGCGGCGCCAGCTCAGGGGCTGCTGGAGGCCCAGGAGGCTCCACCGTGGTGCAGGAAGCTGCCTATCACGCCGGCTCCTGATCGCCGGCGCCCATAGCGCCGACATGGCGGGCTGGTGGCCGGCAGTGTTGCGCGCGGCCCGGCGCCACCCATGGCCCACCAACGTGCTGCTCTACGGCTCGCTCTTCTCGGCAGGGGACGCGCTGCAGCAGAGACTGCAGGGCGGCGAGGCCGACTGGCGCCAGACGCGGCGCGTGGCCACGTTGGCGGTGACCTTCCACGCCAACTTCAACTACGTGTGGCTGGGCCTGCTGGAGCGTGCGCTCCCGGGTCACGCGCCGCGCGCGGTGCTGGCCAAATTGCTCTGGGACCAGGTGGTCGGTGCGCCCATCGCGGTCTCGGCCTTCTACACCGGTGAGGGGCCGAGTATTGGGGGACTGGAGCCAGGGACTCGGGATCAAGCAGCTGGAGGGAGGGCGCTGCAGGAGCCTGGGGACCCGGGTAGGAGCTGAGGCTCTGAGACCGGGGCTGCTTCAGGGGCCTGGAGGGCTAGGGCAAAGGCTAGAGGCTGGGGTGTTTGATTGCGAGAAGTTGCGGGGGGCACTGGCTGGGGAGCCGGGAAATTGGGAAGCCAGAGGTCCAGCGGGTCAGGGGCTAGGGTCGGGGCTCAGACTCGGGGGTTGGATGTAGGTCAAGGCTGGAGCTGGCAGGGCTGGGGAGGTCTTTTCCCCCTGGAAAAGGGTCCACGGGAAAATAAAGGAGATCCCAGTTCAAGGCCATAGCAGCTGCATGATCATGAACCAGTCGTGGGCAGGGAAGGGACCGACCTGCTGTTCAGAAAATCCATGCCTGGGGCTCCGGGGCCAGCACAGGAACAAAACGCAAGGGGACCCATGACCCTGGGGGGCAGAGCAGGTGGAATCTGAGGTTGGGCCTGGATCTTCAGAAAACTCATGCCCAGGGGCCTAGTCCTGCTTTGGTGACAAGATTTTCCCCTGGGGGTCCCACGGAAGACATCAAGGGACCTTGGATCCTTGCCATTGGAGGACTATATACCTGTGAGGGTTCAGGGAACCCTCTCCTTAGAAAATGCGACCCGGGCCTGGGGTGTGGGGGACGGGGGCTTGACTGTGGAAACCTTCTCTACTGCCTACAATAAGAACAATGAAAATGTTACCTGAAAAATACCGGGGTTCATTCCCCTAACGAGTCCCAGATGACTCCATCAAGAGGCAGGTTTTGATCAATGGGAGTTTTACTTGGCACAAGTAAAGAACAACTGGGTATGTTCTCCAAAGTAGTATGTCCCCCCGAGAAGGAGACAGGAGGGTTTTATAGGGTGATGGAGAAAGGAGAGGGCGCGTGATTGCATGCAGAATCGGGGTCCCAGTGAGTCATGATGCTAGCACATAGATTGCATAGGTTACATAGGTTATAGTCATGAAGCTATAGCTTCTCCCGGGGTGAAGACTTTAGCATGGAAATGAGGAGAGTTAACTTGGGTTCATCTATAAGTAACCTGGGGTCCCTTAGGAGCTGGTTTAAACAAACAGGGTGACCTCATTCCACCCAGGGTTGGGGAAGAACAGGTTGAGGGCAGGAGGCTGATTGCTCAAGCTGGTTAAATTCTTGTGATCTTTGGAGATCCTCCGTCTACTTACAGAACAGGCCCTGTGGCCTCTATCATCATTGCAATTTCTATAGCCTCGAAGGGGATGGGGTGGGTAACTGGGGAGAAAATCTCTATGGGTCTTAAGCCTGACCTTGGGATTGGGGAACACAGATTTCCCCCCAAATGGGAGGGAACTTCTCCTAAGGGCTGTTGGTGCTTTCTAAACCAGGTTGAGGTCAGACAAGCCACCATCTTGAAGAGAGCTACCCTGCCCCTTGAACCTTATTTTGAAGAGTTGGATTCACTTCCTTTCTCTACAGACCCCACCAGAAACACAAACCACCTGGTTGCCTATTGCCATTGCGGCCAACTACATGGCTGATGGGATCAGTGGGTCAGGAGGACAGACAGCCTGAGAGCTAAGGCCTCCTGTTTTATCAGAAGGTCTTTGCCTGGTCCCAGGGTGTGATTTCCAGACTAGATTTGCAAACAGCTTCCTAGCACCTGTTACAGAAGACTTGTACACTGGTGAAGGGGTAGGGGACCAGAATCCTATTTCATCCTGAAACAACTAGTGAGATTGTTCTCTTTTTCTTTTTCTTTTTTCTTTTTTTGGAGACAGAGTCTTGCTTTAGCAGGCTGTAGTGTGCAGTGGCCCGATTTCAGCTCACTGCAACCTCCATCTCAGGTTCAAGCGATTCTCCTGCCTCAGCCTACCGAGGGACTGGGATTACAGATGTACACCACCACGCCCGGCTAATTTTTGCATTTTTAATGAAGACGGGGTTTCACCATGTTGGCCAGACTGGCCTCCAACTCCTAACCTCAAGTGATCTGCCCATCTCGGCCTCCCAAAGTGCTGGGATTACAGGCATGAGGCACCTCACCCAGCCAGTTTTCAGTTTTTCTGGTTCAGTTTCCCTCACCTCAAATTTCCATGAAGGGGAAAGTAGAAGGGGATGGATTAGAGGTTTGCATGAGGCTCTACATGGAAATTGCACCAATCAGATGATCTTTGTGCTGGGATCACCTTGGGGAACCAGAGTGGTAACAGATTAACAACTCTGGCTTGGGAATCAGACACCTGGGTTGAACTCCGTCTGCTGTTAACCTCTCTAAGCTCTTTTCCTCCTTTGTAACTCTACCTACCTTAGCGAATTGTAAGGAGGGACACATGAAATGAGGCGCATAAAGTACTTAGCATTTCATTAATGCTGGGTAAGTGGAACACAGTATTACCAATATTTTGCTGAGTCATGTAAGAATCTTCTGTAATTAACTAATAAGGCTCTTATTTCCCCTACCTCGTAATCGGGGATTGGAAAGAATTTTTAAAGTACTCTCAGTTTACAACCCTTTCTAAAATAGGAGAGCTTTGCCTTGCTACCTGAATTGCATTTTTCTTTTTTCCTTTTTTTTTTCTCAGACAAGGTCTCACTCTATTCCCTCAGGCTGAAGTGCAGTGATGTGATCACACCTCATTTTAGCCTCAACCTCCTAGGCTCAAGCAATCCTCCCACTTCTGCCTCTGGAGTAGTTGGGACCACAGGCGCGCAGCCCTATACCTGGCTGGTTTTTAAATTGTTTTGTGGAGACAAGGTCTTGATATATTGCCCAGGCTGTGAATTTCTCTTCAGGAATGTTGAAGATCAACGTTTTCAAAGTGTTTTTAGGAAGACTGAATTGGTGTTCCACTTTCAAATTTTGAATAGGGTAATACTGATGGGAAATTTGTAGTTGCCAGAGTATTTGGGTCCACTAGCCTTTTTTTATTTTTATATTTTTGAGATGGAATCTTGCTCTGTCACCCAGTCAGGAACGCAGTGGTGTGATCTCAGCTGACTGCAACCTCCAAATCCTGGGTTCAAGTGATCCTTCTGCCTCAGCCTCCTGAGAGGCTGGAATTACAGGCATGTACCACTACGCCCGGCTAATTTTGTATTTTTAGTAGAGACGGAGTTTCTCCATGTTGGTCAGGCTGGTCTTAAACTCCCAACCTCAGGTGATCCACCCGCCTCAGCCTCCCAAAGTGCTGGGATTACAGGCGTGAGCCACCACAACCAGTCCACTAGCTTTTTTTTAAAAGATAGAAATTAAAACTTCAAAATGTTCAAATGTTCGACATTTCACAAAATCTTTGGAAGGTAGAGAAAAGTAACCAATAGACCCACTATTGTAACTTGATTCTTTTTGTGAATTGTTACAGTTTTTGAAAAAATAATTGTTCTGCTATAACTTTTATACTCTACTATTCTCACTTCGTATTTATCATTCCTTTAAAATTTATCTAGTTTTAGAGTGGAGATTATGTTCTATTTTCTTTTCTTTTTTTTTTTTTTTTTGAGACAAGGTCTTGCTGTGTTGCCCAGGCTGGAGTGCAGTGTCATGATCACAGCTCACTGCAGCCTCCACCTCCCAGGCTCAAGCAATCCTCCCACTTCAGCCTCCTGAACAGCTGTGACTACAGGCATGCCACCACACCTGGCTAATTTTTGTACTTTTTGTAGGGATGGGGTTTTGCCCTGTTGCCCAGGCTGGTCTCTAAACTCCTGGACTCGAGCAATCTGCCTGCCTCGGCCTCCCAAAGTGCTGCTGGGATTACAGGCTTGAGCCACCGCGCCTGACTATGTTCTCTTTTCACTGTTGGATCAGAAGGGTCGTATTGATGGATGATAGTGATGGTTACTTTGCATTTTGGAATGGAAAACTTAAACATGCACTGTTATACGGTACCCTACTGAATCTTTTAAAATTCTTTTGGTATTTTGCAAATAGGTATGAGCATTCTCCAGGAAAAGGATGACATATTTTTGGACCTGAAACAGAAATTCTGGAATACCTATCTGGTAAGTCAGGCATTTGCAAATGTAATCAGTATGTTTTTTGGCATATATATATATACACACACACACACACACACACACACATATATACACATATACAGAAAGTATTTTTCTGTGTATATATTTATAAATATTTAAAAATCTTTTAATTGACACGTATATGTGCATATTTTCAGTATACACATGATAATTTGATACATTTGTATAATCATATCAGGATTCTTTGTGTGTGTGTGTATGTGTATATATATATTTCTTTTTTTAATTAAAAAAAATTGTTTTTGAGACAGGGTCTCATTCTGTCACCCAGGCTAGAATGCAGGGGCATGATCATGGCTCACTGCAGCCTGGACCTCCTGAGCTCATGTGATCCTCCCACCTCAGCCTCCTGAGTAGCTGAGACTACAGGCATGTGCCACCACACCCAGTTAATTATTTTTACATTTTTTGGTGGAGAGAGTCTCACTATGTAGCCCAGGCTGGCCGCGAACTCCTGTGCTCCAGCGATTCTCCCACCTCAACATTAAGTCCATTTCTATTAAACTATTCCTAAATTAGAGAGCTCCAGTTTGGTTGGCAGAAGGGTCCAATATTTTGACAGAGAAATCTTCAAGTTATTTTGATAGATGTATGAGGAGAGGGTCTAAGAGTATCTGTACTTCTCATGAATTGGAAAGAAATAATGTCTCTGGGCCAGGCGCGCTGGCTCACGCCTGCAATCCCAACACTTGGGAGTCTGAGGCAGGCAGATCACTTCACGTTAGGAGTTTGAAACTAGCCTGGCCAATATGGTGAAACCCTGTCTCTACTAAAAACACAAAAAATAGCTGGGCACGGTGGTGCATGTCTGTAATCCCAGCTGCCCAGCAGGCTGAGGCAGGAGAATCGCTTGAACTTGGAGACAGAGATTGCAGTGAGCCGAGATCGCACCACTGCACTCCAGCCTGGGCAACACAGCAAGACTCCATCTCAAAAAGAAAAAAAAAGAAGAAAATAAATAATATCTCAATGTTGTCAATGATTTCTGACTTTATTAATTCTTATTAATGATCACAATTTATTTTGTGAATTTTGCAGCCCAAGTGACAACAATTTATTCTGTAAATTGGGATTCTATTTGCAAAATAGGGACTGCAGACTGTGAGTGGCTTAATGGAGTCATTCCCACATTCAAAGCCAGTGTTTTCAGGTGAACTTTCTGCGGAGTCTTGGTGAAGAGAACTTTAACATCACAAAGGTATAGCAAAGGAGAAGGTTTCCAAGGGTTATTTCAAGGTTTGAAGCAAATCAGCGGTTTTACTGTTTGCTCGGCACAAATATATACAGTCCCGTCCAATATGTATTTATTCATTGATTCAGTTAATATTTATTGAACAGTGTCCTTAAGGCCTGGCAAAGTCAGGGATACTTTTCATCTCTGCCCTAGAGCATGTTTGATTGCATTCATCACAAGGAGGTAAATCTTTGGGATTACAGAATGTTCACAGACTGGCCTAGGGCTTCACATGTTTTTCATTCCCTATCAAAAGCAGTGTTGAGCCACACCCAGCTATTACCTCCATAGCTTCAAGCATCATCTGTTGGATGGTACCAATGGTACCAAGCCCCTGAACCAGCAGCATTACTTGATGGCTAGAGGTAGAGGATGGAGAGGTTTGAAGTCAGAGGCTTCCCGTGAGCCTCTATACTCAGGAACAGTAACTACAAGGAATGTGTTCAGAACTCTTGTGATTTCTCTTAGGGCAGAAATTGAGGACCCCATGGTGATAACCAAATGTGATTTTCTTCTGTTTGTTTTGTGTGTGTATGTGTGTGTGTGTGTGTGTGTGTGTTTAGATGGATTCTTGCTCTGTCCCCTAGTGGGGAGTGCAGTGGCACCATCTCGGCTCTCTGCAACCTCTGCCTCCTGGGTTCAAGCAGTTCTCCTGCCTCAGCCTCCTGAGTAGCTGGAATTACAGACTTGCACCACCACATCCAGCTAATTTTCTGTATTTTTCAGTAGAGATAGGGTTTCACCATGTCGGCCAGGTTGGTCTTGAACTCCTAACCTCAGGTGATCCGCCTGCCTAAGCCTCCCAAAGTCCTCCCAAAAGAGCCCAGGAGTTTGAGACCAGCCTGGGCAACATAGTGAAACCCCATCTCTACAAAAATAAAATAAATGAGCTGGGCATAGTGGCATGTGTCTGTGGTCCCAGCTGCTCAGGAGGCTGAGATGGGAGGATTGCAAGCCTGGGAGGTTGAGGCTGCCGTGAGCTGTGATTGCATAGCTGCACACCAGCCTGAGTGACAGAGTGAGACCTTGTTTCAAAAAAAAAAAAAAAAAAAGCAGGAAGTAGAATTGGGAAAGAAAGAAGCTTCAGGCAGGGATTTGTATATGAACACAGGAATATTTGCATACTGTTTTAATAAAAGAGTGGTTACAATGAGTGAGTCTCATCTACCTTCAGGAAAAGAAAGAAGGTAAACTAGTGGTCTGAAGCCCAGCCCATTTGGAGATTTTGTGGGAAGATTTCCTGTAATAAAACTGTTGACCAGGCAGGATGACTCAAGCCTGTAATCCCAGCACTTTGGTAGGCTGAGGCAGGTGGATCATGAGGTCAAGAGATCGAGACCATCCTGGTAATTTGATGAAACCCCGTCTCTACTAAAAATATAAAAATTAGCTGGGCATGGTGGAGGGCACCTGTAATCCCAGCTACTCAGGAGCTGATGCGGGATAATTGTTGGAACCCGGGAGTTAGAGGTTGCAGTAAGCCAAGATCGTGCCACTGCACTCCAGGCTGGCGACAGAGGGAGACTCCCTTAAAAAAAAAAAAAAAAAGAAAGAAAGAAAAGTGTCTTCCAGGTGCTGTCTTAGGTGTGTTAGTGGAACATACCCAAAAAACCATATAAAACACAGATTCTGACCTAAAGGGACTTAGAGTCTAGTGGGATAGATAGATAAATAGACAAGTCATTAACTAGAGTTTGACCAGAAATGCTTTCAGATTCCATGGGTACTTAGCACAGTGAGGAGGTGTAGAGGGATCAAGGAAGTCTTGCTGGGGCCAGGCACCAGTGGCTCATGCCTGTAATTCCAGCACTTTGGGAGGCCAAGGTGGGTAGATTGCTTGAGCTCAGGAGTCTGAGACCAGCCCGGGCAATATGACGACGAAACCTCATCTCCAGAAATACAAAAATGAGCTGGGCATGGTGGCTTGCACCTATATTCTCAGCTACTCAGGAGGCTGAGGTGGGAGGATCTCCTGAGCCCAGGAGGTTGAGACTGAAGTAAGCTATGATTGTGCCAGTGCACTCCAGCCTGGGCAAGACAGTGAGGCCCTGCCTCAAAATAAATAAATAAATAAAAAGATCTGGAGTTATGCACATACTGGGGGACAGGGCATTCCAGGGGCAGAAGAGCTGAGTAGAGGTGACAATGTGTGAAGCACCATGGTATGCCTGGAGGGGAGAAACCACAGGCAGTTTGGTGTTCACAGAGTATTTGTTGAACAACTTGGAATGAGTTTGCATCCTAGAGACTGTTGAATGCCTGGAGCTGAGGATCTTGAACTTCACGGTTAGGTAATGGCAGCAAAGGAAACCAAAGTGGGGGGTTATCGTAACCAAGTTCACATAAGAAATAAAGCACGTTGGGTGTAGTGGCTCATGCCTGTAATCCTAACACTTTGGGAGGCTGAGGCAGGAGGATCCCTTGAGGTTAGGAGTTTGAGACCAGCTTGGACAACACAGCAAGACCCTGTCTGTATTTAAAAAAATAAAACTGCCCTGGCATGGTGGCTCATGCCTGTAATCGCAGCACTTTGGGATGCTGAGGCGAGCGGGTCACTTGAGGTCAGGAGTTTGAGACCAGCCTGACCAAAATGGTGAAGCCCGTTCTTTCCTGAAAAATACAAAAAATTAGCCGGGTGTGGTGGCACACACCTGTAATCCCAGCTACTTAGGAGGCTGAGGCAGGAGAGTCACTTGAACCTGGGAGGTGGAGATTGCAGTGAGCCGAGACTGCACCACTGCACTCCAGTCTGGGTGACAGAGCAAGACTCCGTCTCAACAACAACAACAACAACAACAACAAAAAAGAAAAGAAAAGAAAAGAAATGAGGTGAGTTCAGTTTGGGAAACGTTGAATGCCAGATGCCTTTGGGCTATTCAGAGGGAGATTGCCGAAGCACAGAAGAGAGTTCATGGCAGTGTTTAATTATTTTTAGTGCTCACATGTCCCAGATTCGGCCAGTGGGAGTCCCTCCAAGCTGGTTCCTGTGTCCTGTGACATCACCCGTCTTCTTTCTCCTTTTCTTCTTTCATAAGCCACTTCCTTTCTGGCATGACAGTATGTTCCAGAACCATCTTGTACCTTGCACCTGCCCTGCCCTGGCCCTACAATCAGCCAATTCTCTGAGGCATCCTGATTTCTTTTGTGGGGGAATGGTTTGGGAACAAAATATACTACTGCATGATACCACATTCTGACAAGAAAAAAAACACAGCCATAAGAAATAAAGCCATGGACAGGGACAGTGGCTCACGCCTGTAATCCTAACACTTTGGGAGGCAGAGGTGGGAGGATTGCTTAGGGCCGGGAATTCAAGACCAACCTGGCCCACATAGTGAGGGCTCATCTCTATTTTTTTTTTTTTTTTGAGACGGAGTCTTGCTCTGTCGCCCAGGCTGGAGTGCAGTGGCCGGATCTCAGCTGACTGCAAGCTCCGCCTCCCGGGTTCACGCCATTCTCCTGCCTCAGCCTCCTGAGTAGCTGGGACTACAGGCGCCCGCCACCTTGCCTGGCTAGTTTTTTGTATTTTTTTTAGTAGAGACGGGGTTTCACCGTGTTAGCCAGGCTGGTCTCGATCTCCTGACCTCGTGATCCGCCCGTCTCGGCCTCCCAAAGTGCTGGGATTACAGGCTTGAGCCACCGCGCCCGGCCTCATCTCTATTAAGAAAAAAAAAAAAAGAAAGAAAGAAGGAAAGCCATGTTTGGATGAGTTTAGTCTTCTGATTATTTTTGCTAAAGTTTTAAATTCTTTTTTTTTTTTTTTTTTTTTTTTAAGACAGAGTCTTGTTTTGTTGCCCAGGCTGGAGTTCAGTGGTGCAGTCTTGGCTCACTGCAATCTCCGCCTCCCGGGTTCAAGGGATTCTCCTGCCTCAGCCTCTTGAGTAGCTGGGATTACAGGTTCCTGACATCATGCCCTGCTAATTTTTGTGTTTTTAGTAAAGACAGGGTTTCTCCATGTTGGTCAGGCTGGTCTCAAACTCCCCACTTCAGGTGACCCCCTGCCTTTGCCTCCCAAAGTGCTGGGATTATAGGGGTATATTTTGTGTTTAAAGTATATTTAAAAATTAAGGGCCAGGCTCAGTGTCTCATTCCTGTAATCCCAGCAGTTTGGGAGTCCGAGGTTGGCAGATCGTCTGAGGTCGGGAATTTGAGATGCATAACAAGAGCGAAAGTCCGTGTCAAAAAATAAATAAATAAATAAATAAACAAATAAATAAAAATATACATTATGTTCAGGTGCGGTGGTTCACACCTGTAATCCCAGCACGTTCGGAGGCCGAGGCAGGCAGATCACCTGAGGTCAGGAGTTCGAGACCAGCCTAGCCAATATTGCAAAACCCTGTCTCTACTAAAAATAGAAAAAATTAGTCAGGCGTAGTTGTGTGCACCTGTAATCCCAGCTACTCGGAGGCTGAGGCAGGAGAATCGTTTGAACCCGGAAGGTGGAGGTTGCAGTGAGCCGAGATTGCACCATTGCACTCCAGCCTGGGCAACAAGAGCGAAACTCCACCTCAAAAAAAACAAAACAAAACATATATATACACACACACACATATATACATTATATGTAATATCTACTTTTGAATATAAACATAAATATTATAAAACTTTTACTGCAATTGTTCATTTTAGAAACTTCAAAAATACAAATTAGTGAAAAGAAGAAAATAAGTCTATAATACCACTTTTAAGGACTATTTTAAAAACTTCTAGCCTTTTTTTGAGGTATAATTTACATACCAAGACTTTAAAAAAAAATTCATAATGTTGACTTTTTCATCAGACTGTATAGGATAAAGTTTGTTAAAATGTCTATCTAAGATACTTTGTAATATATGAACATTTCAGCTAAACTTGTTCTATAGCATCACATGATTTGAATATATTATTAGAAAATCATTCCATAAACAATGGTTTGGTATATAGTATTAACAATTCAAGGCTGGGCACAGTGGCTCATGGCTGTAATCCTTTGGGAGGCCGAGGCAGGCAGATCACCTGAGGTCAGGAGTTCAAGACCAGCCTGGCCAACATGGTGAAACCCTGTCTCTACTAAAAATACAAAAATTAGCCGGGCATGGTGGCAGGCGCCTGTGATCCCAGCTACTCAGGAGGTTGAGGCAGGAGAATCGTTTGAACCTGGGAGGCAGAGGTTGCAGTGAGCCAAGATCTTGCCACTGCATTCCAGCCTAGGCAACAGAATGAGACTCCATCTCAAAATAAATAAATAAATAAATAAATAAATAAATAAATAAATAAATAAAATAATTTGGGTGAGGTGACTCACGCCTGTAATCCCAGCACTTTGGGAGGCTGCGGTGGGCTATTACTTTTGCCTGGGAGTTCGAGACCAGCCTGGACAACACAGAGATTCCGTGTCTCAAAAAGAAAAAATTAAATTAAAAAATTAAAAAGTAAAGAATTCATTGATGATTCTGTTTTTACAAATATATTCCTGCATCATTTTTTCATGGTAACCAGGAAATGGCAATGCATAAATATATGTTGTCATTTCCAAAGCGGCCATCTTCCAGAATTGGTACTGATTCTAGTAGACCTTTCATCCTGGTGTTAAAAATATAATTAATACAAATGTCTTGTACCTAATAGCTTTTTCCCCCACAATTCCCCAACCCCCTCACTCTAGAGGCCTTAAGTAGTCTAATTTAATCAGCTTAGTCTGAAATGTAATACTACCTCAGCATCTAGTTGGCCTAGTATTTCTTACTCTTTTATGGAATGAACTGTGCAACTGTTTTGTGTGGTTAAAAGGTATGCTAGGCCGGGTATAGTGGCTCACACCTGTAATCCCAGGCCAAGGTGGGCAGATCACCTGAGGTCGGGGGTTGGAGACCAGCCTGGCCAACACGGTGAAAACCCATCTCTACTAAAAATACAAAAATTAGCCGGGTGAGGTGGTGTGCGCCTGTAATCCCAGATACTCAGGAGACAGAGGCACGAGAATTGCTTGAACCCAGGAGGCAGACGTTGCAGTGAGCTAAGATTACACCACTGCACTCCCGTCTGGGCAACAGGGTGAGACCCTGTCTCAAAAAATAAAAAATAAAATAAATAAAAAATAAAAAATAAAGGGCATTCTAATAAAGTTGTTGCTTTTTTTTTTTTTTTTTAATTCCAGAGCGGACTGGTGTACTGGCCTTTTGTACAGGTAAGTTCCGCCTACTCAGTAATATTAACTCAGGGCTTTGGTTTCCATGTGGCCCTAACGAACTCTCTGTCTCTGTTCCAGCTGACCAACTTCAGCCTTGTTCCTGTTCAATGGAGAACAGCTTACACTGGAGTCTGTGGTTTTCTCTGGGCCATCTTCGTCTGTTTTTCCCAGCAGAGTGGTGACGGCACATTGAAGTCAGCTTTCACCATTTTACGTACAAAGTGGACCAGTGCCATAGAAGGGTCCCCGGAGAAATGAGAAGTCAAGGACTCTCTTAAAGAGACCACATATTTGACCTAAAATGCACAGAACTGCCTGCAGACAAAATACTTGATGTGCCAATTATGCATTTCATTTTGAGGAATTACTGCTATTTATAAACCCACTTAAAAAAATTATGATTATTTTTGAATTGTATTCAGATATTTTTTCCTGTTCCAGTCTGAAATATTACTTCTCTAATATTTTGGTTGATATGAATAATAGTGGCAAAATGGCATTTCAGAATTATTAATATTTCTAATATTTTAACCCAAGTTTCGGGAAACTTGGTTTTGATGTTTACATTTCTATTCTAAAATCTCAGGTTATCTCCTGAACACTTTTGGGCAGATGAACTTTTATACCAAAAAATAGTTCTCATAGTGAATTTTAATTTACATAGAACTCAATTGAAATGAATATTTAAAAACAAGATTTATTTTCCCAAAGCATACATAATTTGTTATTTTTTTACTAAAATTCAGTAAATACTTTTTTTTTTTTTTTTTGAGATGGAGTCTCGCTCTGTCTCCCAGGCTGGAGTGCAGTGGCACGATCTCAGCTCACTGCAGCCTCCACCCTCCAGGTTCAAGCAATTCTCTTGCCTTAGGCTCCTGTGTAGCTGGGATTACAGGCATGTGACACCACTGACACCACTACACCACGCCATGCCTCGCCTGATTTTTGTATTTTGTTTGTTTGTTTGTTTTTGTTTTTGAGCTCCACCTCCCTTTTCACGCCATTCTCCTGCCTCAGCCTCCCGAGTAGCTGGGAGTACAGGTATCCACCCCCATGCCTGGATAACTTTTTGTGTTTTTAGTAGAGATGGGGTTTCACCGTCTTAGCCAGGATGGTCCCCATCTCCTGACCTTGTGATCCAGCCGCCTCAGCTTCCCAAAGTGCTGTGATTACAGGCGTGAGCCACCGTGCCCGGCCTAATTGTTGCATTTTTAGTTTCACCATGTTGACGAGGACGGTCTCGATCTCCTGACCACATAAATCGCCTGCCTCGGCGTCCCAAAGTGCTGGGATTACAGGTGTGAGCCACCGCAACCGACTTTTTGTTTTTCCTTTTTTTGAGACAGAGACTCACTCTGTCACCCAGGCAGGAGTTCAGTGGCATGATTTCCGCTCACTGCAACCTTCGCCTCCTTGGTTCAAACAATCCTTCTGCCTCATCCTTCAGAGTAGCTGGGATTACAGGCCTGTGCCACCATGCCTAGCTCATTTTTATATATATATATATTTTTGAGACGCAGTCTCGCTCTGTCACCCAGACTGGAGTGCAGTGGCCGGATCTCAGCTCACTGCAAGCTCTGCCTCCTGGGTTCAGGCCATTCTCCTGCCTCAGCCTCCTGAGTAACTGGGACTACAGGCACCTGGCACGTCGCCCGGCTAGTTTTTTGTATTTTTTAGTAGAGACAGGGTTTCACCGGGTTAGCCAGGATGGTCTCGATCTCCTGACCTCGTGATCCGCCCGTCTCGGCCTCCCAAAGTGCTGGGATTACAGGCTTGAGCCACTGTGCCAAGCCCATTTTTGTATTTTTAGTAGAGACGGTGTTTTGCCGTGTTGGCTAGGCTGGTCTCCAACTCCTGGCCTCTAATGATCCACTCAGCTTGGCCTCCCAAAGTGCTGGGATTATCGGCGTGAGCCACCACACCTGGCTCAGTAAGTACGTTTTTTTATTATCAAAAAAAGAGTAGTGTATGATTGGTGTATTCTGTATAGAATGTATTTTATTGATGTCTTCTATTTTTATAATTTCTGAGTTAAGTACTTTTTAATGAATGTTTTTTAGTTTGGGCACATTCAGTTGACTAAAGCACTTCATTTCCCAGATATATGAAATAAAATATTTCGCTGCTTTTCCAATTTCACACGGATGTTATTTTGTGAAAATCAGTGCTTTAAGATAAACCTTTATACTTCAAGATAAACATGAGAAACTTGATCTTTTATTTTTTTTTTATTTTTTTATTTTTTGAGACGGAGTCTCGCTCTGTCGCCCAGGCTGGAGTGCAGTGGCGCGATCTCGGCTCACTGCAAGCTCCGCCTCCCGGGTTCACGCCATTCTCCTGCCTCAGCCTCCCGAGTAGCTGGGACTACAGGCGCCCACAACCGCGCCCGGCTAATTTTTTGTATTTTTAGTAGAGACGGGGTTTCACTGTGGTCTCGATCTCCTGACCTTGTGATCCGCCCGCCTCGGCCTCCCAAAGTGCTGGGATTACAGGCGTGAGCCACCGCACCCGGCCAGATCTAATATTTAATATTTATTCAGTTCGTCTAACTTCTAAACCATCAGATTTAAAAATTACGTAACTATCTCAAGAAGTTTCACTTGGATGTAGTCGTTCACGCTTGTAATCCCAGCACATTGGGAGGCTGAGATGGGAGGATCGCTTAAAGCAAGGAGTTTGAGACCATCCTGGGCAATATTGCAAGATCCCATCTCTATTTTTAAAAAAAATTCACTTTGTGAGGCCGAGGCGGGCGGATCACGAGGTCAGGAGATCGAGACCATCCTGGCTAGCATAGTGAAACCCTATCTCTACTAAAAACACAAAAAATTAGCCGGGCGTGGTGGCGGGTGCCTATAGTCCCGGCTACTCAGGAGGCTGAGGCAAGATAATGGCGTGAACCTGGGAGGTGGAGGTTGCAGTGAGCGGAGATCACGCCACTGCACTCTAGCCTAGGCGACAGAGCGAGACTCCATCTCAAAAAATAAAAAAAGTTTCAACAAATTCCACCTAAGAATTCCACCAGAGTTCTATTGTCTCCAATATCATGTTCCACGGATTTCAAGTTGTGAAGGCCTGAACTGTTCATTTATCTTGAGAATTTATATTTAAGCTTAAGACTATATACCTAAAAATTGAGCACATAATTTGTATAATTTATGTAAGTTTCTGTAAGTCATAAACATGTAGTTTCCAAGTGTATAATTTATCTGAATGTAATAGGCATTAATATATTTTACATTATTGGGACCATAGTAAAGCAATTTCTAAATGGTTTGTAAAATAACTTATTTGCGTTGTTGTAAAAGTAGTTAATACAATGGAAAAACTGTTTCATAATAATAAGATACATTTTAACATCAAAATACATCAAAAAATGTACCCAAGGTAATTGTACGTACTGCCTGGCAAACCTTTACAGAAGCTGTGGTATCACTTTTATGATGGAAGAATAGTGTTTGCATTTTGTATAAAAGTACTTGGGGCTGGACGTGGTGGCTCATGTCTATAATCCCAATGCTTTGGGAGGTGAAGGCAGGTGGATCGTCTGAGCCCAGGAGTTTGAGACCAGCCTAGGCAACATGGCAATAGCCTGTCTCTCTAAAACATACAAACATTAGCCAAGCATGGTGGTGTGAGCCTGTAGTCCCAGCTACTTGGGAAACTGAGGCAGGAGGATCTCGAACCCAGGAGGCAGAAGATGAATACATCAATGGATGCAACTGAATGAGGTGAGGTCTCTTGAAGGAGAGAGCAAAAGAGATTTAAATAATAACAATTATAATAAGGCTGGGTGCGGTGGTTCACGCTTGTAATCCTGGAACTTTGGCAGGCCAAGACAGGCGGATTGGTTGAGGTCAGGAGTTCAAGACTGGCATGGCCGACATGGTGAAACCCCGTCTCTATTAAAAATAGAAAATTAGCCAGACATGGTAGTATGTGCCTGTGGTCTCAGCTACTCAGGTGGCTGAAACAGGAGAATCGCTTGAACCTGGGAGGCATACGTTGTAGTGAACCGATAAATACAAAAAGTATTAAAGTACTAACAGGAAAATTTCCACTGATCACCCTTTAGCTTTAAATAATGCAGAAACAGGTCGGGCGCGGTGGCTCAAGCCTGTAATCCCAGCACTTTGGGAGGCCGAGACGGGCGGATCACGAGGTCAGGAGATCGAGACCATCCTGGTTAACACGGTGAAACCCCGTCTCTACTAAAAAATACAAAAAAATAGCCGGACGAGGTGGCGGGCGCCTGTAGTCCCAGCTACTCGGGAGGCTGAGGCAGGAGAATGGCGTGAACCCGGGAGGCGGAGCTTGCAGTCAGCTGAGATCCGGCCACTGCACTCCAGCCTGGGTGACAGAGCGAGACTCCGTCTCAAAAAAAAAATAAATAAAAATAAATAAATAAATAATGCAGAAACATGCCCAGTTTACTTGTAATTAAAAATCACGCATCGTTCACAATTTATCAGTCTTGTTTATTTGTGAAAAACTAATACAAGTTATTCTCTTTTACCTGTATTGTGATTGGTTTGGTGAGAGGGAATTGGGCCACTTGAGAGTTTGTGCATGTTTAAAATTTTCTGGCCAGGCACGGTGGCTCATGCCTGTAATCCCAGCGTTTTGGGAGGCCAGGACAGGTGGATCACTTGAGCTCAGGAGTTCAAGACCAACCTGGGCAACATGGTGAAACCCTATCTCTACCAAAAATACAAAAAGTAGCTGGGTGTGGTGGCTTGCACCTGTACTTCCAGCTACTTGGGGGGCTGAGGCAGGAGGATCGCTCAAGCCCAGGAGGCGGAGGTTGCAGTGAGCCGAGATCATGCCACTGCACTCCAGCTAAGGCAACAGAGCAAGACTCTGTCTTAAAAAAAAAAAAAAAAAAAAAAAAGAAAAGAAAAGAAAATTAACTTTGGTATTTCAGGTTGAATTTAAATGGGGACTTCACATCAACTGTGTTCACTACAGTGGACCAAATTAAGTGTTGAGAGATTATCTGGAACTGCAATTTCTAACTTATACGTGATTGCTATAAACCTTATCTGTTTACTGTTTTTTTTTTTTTTTTTTTTTTTTTTTGAGACAGAGTCTGGCTCTGTCACCCAGGCTGGAGTGCAGTGGCGCGATCTCGGCTCACTGCAAGCTCCGCCTCCCGGGTTTACGCCATTCTCCTGCCTCAGCCTCCCGAGTAGCTGGGACTACAGGCGCCCGCCACCTCGCCCGGCTATTTTTTTGTATTTTTTAGTAGAGACGGGGTTTCACCGTGTTAGCCAGGATGGTCTCGATCTCCTGACCTCATGATCCGCCCGTCTCGGCCTCCCAAAGTGCTGGGATTACAGGCTTGAGCCACCGCGCCCGGCCCTGTTTACTGTTTCTTTTCCAAGGACCATCAGTCATCCTTTAAAATTCATCTGAAG